TGGGCGGCATGTTGATGCAGTTACGCAAAAAAATGGCGGGACCATCCGCATCGAAGTCTTCTGTTTTCACTAAAATCAAGTGGGGGATCCGCTAAATCCTTTACGTGGTCTATGTAACCGACAGATGAAGCCCTTACTGGCTATTGTACATGTATTGCTCTCGCGCACAGCTGAACCTGCAAAACACCGTAGTTATCCACGTCTTCGAGATTTTTCTGCATTACACTGAATTTGTACAGTGAACCTCGCAATTCGCGGTGTTATCTGTCATCCCATCCGCTGAACACGTCTGGGCATTAGTATCCGGATACCAAGGGAGCCACAATCTCTTTTACTAGTACCAAATTCCTTTGCTTCGTCCAAATCAGACACATAGACACTACGCAAGACCGATTTGAGGTTCTTCATTTCTCCGATATCACTCAAAGAAGAACGTGCCGGGCATTTTTCATCAATGAACGACTGTGTCCTTCAGCCTACTTACTTAACGACACTGTGATCTGAGGAATCGTCGAGCGAGCCAGAACTCTGCAATGATCCTACACGCCCCAGATCTCGGAGGAAGCGAGACCTCGACGTTCTTATTCCTCATATCTAAGACAATGGTCACGTGCGTAAGGAGAGACAGGACTCATTTCAAGGATACCCTGGGAAACGCACCGAGAAACAACATCATCGCTTACAAGAGCGCCAATACTTCAGATAAATGACTACTAATTCTTTGCTATGGCGGAGCTTGCAATCTTGGAGAAATTACGACTGCGAGAGCTATACCGACTGCACCATTCGATATTTGAAAAACATTATGCTCATTCTTAATGAGGAGGCTGGTAAACTAAGATCGATGGACTTGAGCAGCGCCAACATTCTGTGACGACCCAGATTCGTGGAGTAGTAGCCGAATATGCAAAGTCTTGTGAGTCTTGCGTTCGAAGATGAATCACTACCACAACCCGATATCCAATGAGGACTCGAACGTCATTTACACCAATGTAGCATTTAACGTTTCATACGGCGTGGACAAGATGATACTTACAATACTGGAAGCAGATTACTCAAGTGTCGAAGGGGACCTTTAATCGCTACAACGGCAACTAATCTTTCCATCTCACAGGAAACAAATTGTGATGTCTTTCTTCTCTTCACCAGCGGGTCAGATACTCGTGGCAATTTAGTCGATGAACAGCTCGACCAAACGCTTGTCGTGCGTGGTAGAGCATTTAAAAGAAGTGACCCTGCCACCGGATTGCAAGAGTCATGAGTCAGTCGGACGTGTTGACCGATGCTACGTATACTCGGGTATCTGGTTGACGCAGCTAGAGCATTTCAAAGAGCCTCCGTGGCACCGAACTTCTTAACTGTGACCACATAATGTAAATCCACTCTGTGTAAAAGTTGCTCACGGTGATGAACTCCAAACGTCGCTATTCTCACACAAACCACTTGGTTAGATCTACATTTATTAGCATTCGTTCTGTTTCGAAATGATGCATGTATCCGACGAAAATTATCGAGTGGTAAATAAACCAACAATGCCCTTTTACTAAAGTATAGGTGCTAGACTGTCTCGAAGACGAAAGACAGGGTTGTGCGACCATGCTGAGTATTTTATCTTTGCATTTCTCGAACTAAGAAAGACTGTGCTATATGCATGAGTGCACGTAAAAAAGCGTCAAAGAAGGTGATAACTCTGTCGGTTCATGGCGAGAGTTTAGCGGCGTCTACGACGGACGCGTCCATGCATGCTATACTACCTTTGAGACCAATTCATTCATGTGAACAAGTGAAAGCAGTTTTGCCTTTCCTGACAGCGTCAGCCTGACATAAATATCAGAGTAAGCGTTGCCTCTGTAATTGCATCCATCTGTACCGACTTTAAATGATTACGCCATTTCTTTACTAAAACAAAATAAACGTACCTCTTAGATTAGATCAGATATTCAGAACTTTGTCATCTCTTGGAAACATGGAAATAAAACATGAAATTATGGTTTAGTTGACCTCCACTGGAAGTCCGGAGAGATCAGAGCCCTCTCAAACACGCGAGACGTGTCCTCCAAGTTCCCTAAAAGACGCAGCATAGATCTCAATAGATCCGACTTGCTCATTACGCTCGCCACGCGGCAGTAAGCGGGATCCCACTCGAACCTCATCGAGCCGCGCATGACAAGCCGTTGATTCAGCAGCTTATCCGCCAAAGGATGGTCCTTGTCACTACTCGTAAGATGAGGGAACACATTCCGCAATGTCCTCTCCGTAATGGTGACTCTTGTCGTCGTCTCAGCGACTACCGAGTTGCCAGTCTTCGTCAGGCCTTCCAGCTCGAGTTCCACATCTTCGAACCACATGCACAGACATTTCCAGCTCCTCATCATGGCTTCTATGCCGCGACCAGCGTTAAACGCCACGTCTGGGGCCATAGCGTTGCGCAGCAAGTCTTGCTGAGCCGACGGCTGCGTAGTAGCAGAAGTCTTGACACCGTAACGAAACAGTCGAAAGTATTCGGTCGAAACACTCCAGACGTTCTCCTTGGTCGGGATCGCAGAGGATACCGAACGTCGTCGCTTCTCGAGCTTATTGATTTCGTCTTGTAGCTGACGAGTCTCCTGTTCGAGGGTATTGGCGTAGTCGTCTTTCTTCTTCCGATACCGAATCTGCCGCAAACGACGGAGTTCTCGAAGTCTCTTTTGCTCGCTCAGAATTTGGTCCACAATGTGGGCATGT